AGTTTATCTAAAACTAGGATAGGACACCATTTGGTAGAGGTAGGATAGTATTTAATTTCTACCGGAGGCCCTGTTTGGCTTGTCTTGGTATGGGCAATAGATAAGATATAGTGGTCTTGTTTCTTGATCAGGTGTCTCTTTTGGAGGCAAAGTTTAGAATCGGTTGTTTTTTCCACTGAAAATTCTTTGGGTCTCAAAAACCCATAGAAAGCTAAGTAAGGTAATAATTAGGTTTGTGACGTGTTCAAAAGGGGAGGTGTCGAGGATATCGGAAATACTTTTAAATAGTTCACTGTCTATGGGAAGTCTCTTGATAGGGACATGTGTAGATAATCTGTGAACGCCTCTTAAGACACTTTTAACTGGGTAGGAGGATAGGAATGGAGATTTGTTGGGATGGCTGGTTAACATGTAGTGTTGAATGCCTGTTAAGTATAGTTTGATAGTGTTGTAAGCTAATTTAAGAGAAATATGGCAAAAAGTTGTAAACGCAACAATAGTTTCAACAGAAAAAGCATTTATTATATGATAATCACGAACAAAATCCTTAAACAAATTGTAAGCTCTAGAGTAGGCTTTCCTAGTGTTAACGGACAAGCCTGCTTGCGTGAGAGATCTACTTTGCTTTAACAGAGAACTTAAGGCATTATTAGTTCTGTGAAGCTTGGAGATCCCCTGGGTTGAGGGTTTGCTGATGGATGAAACTTTAAAAACGCCTGCAAATTCAAGCATGAGAGAGCATCAGCAGCGTTATTTTGAACACCCGGAACGTGAAAACATGTAATGCTGAATTGCAGGTTAGCCGCTAGCCAAGTCAGTCTCCTTATTAAATTCATAATAGTTAGGGACTGAGAGCGACCTTTGTTTACAATATCACAGGTAGCTATGTTATCCGAAAAGCATCTAACTGACTGTCCTCTCCACTCTTTACCCCAGACGTGTGCGGCTGCCACTATGGGATAAATCTCGAATAGAGCCGAGGTAGTATTGAAACTGTCGAGTGAGAGGGTCTCCACTGGCCATGAGTCATATAGCCACTCATCCCCAAAAATTGCTGCATACCCTAATGCCCCTGAAGCATCGGTCCAGATTACAGGGGAATCGTCAGAAATTGGTGGAACAAATAGCGACCTGCCATTCCAAGAGGATAGGAACAGCTGCCACATTTGTAGATCAGCTCTAGCTGACTCGTTCAGGGAAGTAGTGGAGTCGTCGTCGGGGAGGCCGTGTAGTAGTGAGAGGATTCTGGATATGAACGACCTTCCCTGAGGAATTATCCTCATAGCAAAATTTAGTGAACCAAGTAGTGACTGTAGTTGTTTCCTTGTGCAGGTGCCTTGTGATGTGCAAGTGTTTATGTATGACAGTATCCGGTCTACTTTCTCTTGAGGCAGGCTGGCTTGCATAGAAACTGAATTAAGTGTAATACCCAGGAATGTGATGACAGTGTTGGGACCTTCAGTTTTGTCTTGTGCCACAGGGACTCCTAAGTCTTTGAAAAGAGTGAGCATGTGCTTAAGGCTGTGGGGTGTGTGCTGATGGGGTTCGATAGTGAGGAAGTCGTCTAGGTAATGAATGACTACTGGACATCTGCAGGAGTTGAGTAGGAGCCAGGTTAAAGTTTCGGCAAATATATCGAACAATTTGAGGCTACTTTTGGATCCGAAGGTGAGTCTTGTCGCAAAATAGTAGCTTCCTTCCCACTTAACTCCATGCAGATGCCAGAGTGACTGGTGGATGGGAAGTAGTTTAAATGCATTTGTGATATCGGACTTGCTTAACCAAGCGGCCTTCCCGGTATGAAGGATTGCTTGGATGGCATCGTCAATTCTGGCGTATTGTAGGGAAAAGTCAGCTGACGGGATCAGAGCATTTAGGCTGGGTGTGGAGGATGTGTGTGGTGCAGAGAAGTCAATAATCAGTCGCTTTTTATTGTTATATTTACCTGTGGCGATCCCTAGTGGGTTTGTTCTCCAGGAAGTGAAAGGAGGAGTGGTGAAAGGGCCTATCATAAAACCATTTGTGAGTTCCTTCTGTAATAGTTCGCGTATGCTGTCTGGGTCTGTGAGTGCTGACTGTAAGTTGGGGCATTCTAAGACGCTTGTAGGGAGTGACACAAACCCTGTATGGAACCCATTAGTGAAACCATTTGTGAGAAATTCAACCAAATGAACAGAAGGATGATTAGACAGGTAGCGTTGCAACTTAGGTACGTTTATTGTTGTGGATGATTTGTTAGGGTACAGTCTGTTGGGGCACATTGTTTTGGCATGTGCTCTAAAACACATAGAGCATACGTGCAACAGCCTACAAGCACTATAGCTGCATCCTCCCGTATTAAAGTTGTTGCAGACTTGTGCTTTACCTAGAAAAACAATAGGCCTACCAAGTTTGTCCCTCACTTCCCTCTGTGATGTATTTGATTGGTATCCGGTATTGGCGCTACTGGTAGAAGAGGATGCTAGGTTTTCAGGACAAAAGTTTACCGAATGAGCTGCAGAAGAGCATATAGCACAGGACGGGGTTTTAAGGCCTGCAAAATGCATTAGAAATAATTCTGTATCTAGCTGAGCCCAATCGGTAACCGTATTATACTGGGAGAGAGATGCAGCGGATCTGGAAGAAAAAGACTTATGATAGTCGTAAAATGCAAAGCCGCCGTACTTGTATGCTAACTCAACCACCTTATGCAGATATAAGTCAAGTTCCTCTCTACGGAGAGGGAATGTTGTACAAATGACATCTCTGTACAGTCCGAATGCGATGACAAATTCGGGAATATTGAGCTTTCTATTTAGTCTAGGGTCTCTAGATTTCATCACTACCGACAGATCCTCGAAGGTATAGGCTCTGTTTTCTACCACGTCTTGAGAAGCAATCAGTAGTGATGCTAAATTTATGTCTTTCCCCTCAGTAATGTCCCGTTTTAGAGCCTGAGGAATAAGATGGATGGGGTTAATGATATTAGTAGCTCTAGCTGGTGGAGGGTTATCTTTACCTCCTGAGCTAGTGGTAGGCTGAGTAACTGTTACTGGAATCTCTGGCATGGTAGTGATACTGTTTGACTCCAGATTGTCCAATCTATTATTAATAGTTGCTACTGAGGAAACGAGGGAGGCCATCATGCTGTGTAATTCTGCCATGCTATTTTGCACGTTGAAAGCAGAACTGGGGCCTGGCCAATCTAAACAGTTCGGCTTTCCTTGCTGTCGCTGGGAAAGGAATATTCCTCTTTTTAAGTTCAGAGGTGATCTTAGGGATAGTCCAGGAACGATAGCTGGAAGCCGGGCTTGGTGGACTGGTTCTTCTCTGTGAGCCTGATCTTAGTGGGGTGCTGGCCACCGACAGATCATCTCCTTGTGTACATTCGTTAGACATGCTACGGAAGTGAGTTAGATGGGTAATGTTAGTATGTTACCGTATGGAATGGTATTGACTCAGCTTACTATGCTAGTGCCTACTGGCGAAATTGTATTAACTAGTTCAGGTTGGTGACAGGTGAAGCCCTGACTACTTGCCAAGTGGCTATGAGAGGCTCTATCTATGATTTGGCTCGTGGGGCCTTTGTGCCACTGAGGTGGGTGGCGGGGTGTAGGCCTCTCGGTGATGTTTAACAGAAAAAATAACGATTGGCCGTGACTGGTGAGGCCCTCACTAAGAGTTGGTGCAAGGCTCTACCTATGAACTGGGACGATTGGCGCGGACCTCCGAACGTAACGGTTGAATAGTATGCCTTGCGGGACACTTGACTGCTAGGCGAATAAGCCTATGGGATGTTACCTAACTTGACGAGAGTTTAAACGCTACTGGTAGCCTTGCCTGGGTTTGAACGGTATACATACCTGATAAAGACTTGTCTGATGTATACTGAAGCTGAGAACAATCCTTATAAGAACCTAAAACATTTTATAAAATTTAATTATCACCTAACCTGGAAGCATCTGTTACAAATGATTATTTGTTAAGCAAAAGATTGAAATACTAACCGTATGCGTTTGAAAAGATTTATGAAGATTTGGCGGGTGATCGCCTGAACCTTTAACACTGTAGAAGATGCTTTTAACCAAAGCCGATTGTACTTAGTGTCGTATATAGTGTTTCTTAACAGAGAGGAAAAAGGATATATATGAAGCAAATGATATATAGACAACATTGTAAGGTAAAGTAAGTAAGACGAAAAAGCACGAGACCGAGAACCTTTCCGTATAAGGCTAGAGACACTTAAGTACCTTTATTGATAGTACATAGTAATGAACCTATATATGTAGCCACATTATAAGCCTAATTATAAGCATAATTAATAGAACACCAACCGTTGTGAAGTGCATGAAGGTAGTGCAGGGGTTAAACATGGATTTTAAGTGCATGGAGACTTGAAACTCGCGAGTAGAGAAAACTACTGTTTCCACCGAGGGGACAGCTCGTGGAGCGGTAGGAACTTGAAGCCGGTTGACAGCCTCGTGGAGCGGATAGACTGGTCTCTCGCCCGCTGACGCGTCTGGATCACGTGAACCGGAAGTAGAAGAAAGCACTTCCGGGAACGTCGATGACAGGTAAGCTGGGTTTGTTTGTAGTTTATATAGGGCTAAAATGTACCTCCCACAATTCCAGGCCAAGCCTTCTTTATATATATAATGATAATTAAACTTCCTGTTCTTTAGTGTAGAGTCTCTTTTCCACCTCCACAGTGGTGGATGTAAGGTATCAGGGTTAGTCTTAAAGTCTTTTTTTGTTGTAACCAAGATAAGCTTATACGGTATAACCACACTTTAGTGTAATATTTCCTTAACCCCTTAAGGACACATGACATGTCATGATTCCCTTTTATTCCAGAAGTTTGGTCTTTAAGGAGTTAAAAGGATGCTGGAAGCGGGGTGTAATAAAACAATTTATTCTGATTTGTTAAAACATTATAAAACTCTTGCATATATAAAGAAATTGGTTAAAATATCCTTGTAACCACTGTAAAGTCCAATAAAAGCAGATAAGCAGTATGTGGGAAAGAAGTTTACCACTCCGTCGGAGCAGCTGAATCGGTACAAGTCCCTTTTACCAAGCTGCAATCTTTGGAAGCCGGAACAGAGGGACGCTGTAACTCCACACCGCTGTTAGAATCCGCTGGTACTGGTAAGTGAAGGCTTTTCCTCAGGTCCACATGTTTCACCCGAGCTTTCTCAAGATAGTGAGGTAGCCTTTGATTGTGATGTATATACCTTGTTGAGTTACGGTGCAGTCAATTTTTTTCTTAATGATACATGTACCCTTCTGTGGCAGGGCTTGTGAAAACCAGCTTTCATGCATGTATAAAATACATGATTCATTCATGTAAATCTCTAGCTATATGTAATAAAATCTGATGTACAATATTTTACTGTATACATCATAGTAAAATACAATATATATATATATATATATATATATAAAACACATGATATCACAGAAATAATCATATTGATAACAATGCAAAATAGGACTCTTGCATGAATTGATATATTTGAAAGAATTTTGGAATAATTGACAAATGTAATTGTGTAGATAGAAACAATTAACCAACTTTTAGTTTCTTATGTTTAATTGACAGCCACTGTATTCTTAATGGTAAACTCGGATAAGAAAGGGATTTCTTGATTATATATTTAATTTGGAATGACAAAACAGACAGAAGGTGAATATAAAATTGTACTTATTAGAAGGACAGTAGTATGGAAAATTTGTATTTCTAATGAAAAATCTTGATGGAAAGAAAATGCATATTGCTTAATAGTCCTTTAAGAGATCCCTCCCTACATACCTCAAAACAGAATGCACGCATTATGGTTGATTATATTTTTCCTACCTGTTCTATGTTAAATTTTGTATATATTGTGTATTAATATTGTTTTTGTATTTTATTGTACCCTAATGTATCAATGCAATGTTTTGAGGATCCAGGACATACTTGAAAACGAGAGAAATCTCAATGTATCTTTCCTGGTAAAATATTTTATAAATAATATAGCTAGACAGACAATAGTTGTATGGATTCCTAAACTAAAGTATCGTCTTCCGAGTTAAATAAGGTGCAGTGGCTTTGTTACAAACCACTGGTTACTGTTATTTGATCGCTACAAATCAGAAACGAATGTTACTTATTGCTACATTTCACTCAGAATTGGATTAAAATAATGGGATGTGATACCTAATTCCTGAATTACGGACCCGTGACTATTCATGATACGAACGACGGACCACCAGGATTTTGGCGTGTGCCGCCACCTAACCCCGGTCACCCCGGAAACAGCCGAACGGCCGACCACCCTACGAGCGGAGTGTGCCTTCACTTAACCGCCCGGAGAGTTGCGGTCTGCGGTTAACCACAACCTAATTGACGACCGCAGAGAGTCAACGTTCGTGCCCCATCAACCGATATTCTAACTACCGAACGGGTACCGAACAACGGGCCACCTACAGCCTGGCGTGTGGCTCCAATTAGAATGTTGGTTTTAGCGGTTAACCACAGGTTAAGTACCCCTTCACGGCGGTCTTCATTCACCTCTCGAACATCGGAGGCTTCCAGCGACGGAGCGGGGATTCGTACAGACTGCTAGCCGGTTCCTGTTCCACAAGTTTGAGAGTGGAGTCCCGCGGCCTATTAACCTGTTTCAAAACATGGCCGCCATCACACGCTCAGAACCCAAAGAGACGAACAGGCTTTAGTTCGAGGAAATATCACATACCATTCACGGGTTCTGAGCGCTCTTCGGTTAATTGTTTCGCCTCAACGGAGGCTGTATAATGAATGGTGGAAGATACGAATTATATATAAAACTGTTTGTTTGAGTTATGTATTTTTATTCTGTTTTCTATGTGGCAAAAACACGTGGGGTTCTGGCCGCTTGGAGATAATTGTATTATAATAACCATTGGATTTACTATCTCCAAGCTGGGCGGCGACGATTTCAAACGATGCGTTACATTTCTATTGGTTCCCCACTTGCCTTGTCCCTGTATCCCATCAGGTCCAGAGGGGACTGTCCCTGGACCTGAGATATTGCATAAATACGGTCCCCTGTGTGTCATTAAACCCAGTTCTTGTTTGACCCTCAAATCGCAGCCTCGACTCGTTTTGTGGGGTTAAGAGTATCCTAGCTATGCTATAGCTAGTGGGATTGTTCTCCATTTACAGGACTCGTATGGAATGACTAACAACGTGGCTCTCCGCCTTCTCTACCTTTGGGATCCAGACCATCCAAGCGTTCCAGCTTTCAGCTAGCCTGGAGGTAACCGTAACAGGCTTGTAATTATTATAGCGATAATTATAAGTTAATAAACGTCTCTTTTGGTACTTAGAATAAGGAATCGAGTTCCTTATAAACTCAGAGTATGATATCATGAAATATACTGTAACAAAAAAGAAACAAGTTGCGTAACAATTTGTAGAGAAAAATTAAACTAATTGTATAATAAAATTATTGAGACGTGTGAGAATGGATTAGGGAGTTTAAAATAGCTACATATATCGATCATAAAAAATTGTGATTGAGAGTTCTTCCTATAACACAACTTCCTTACCTTCCTTCTACCAACAGTCTACTCAGGGAAAAAAAAAAATTCTGGACGGACTTTTAAACACACAAACCAGAG